ATTCCTGCTTGGAACAGTTGTCCAGAGTGGAGCTAAAAAGTGTTCCCAGTGCTAATATCCCCTCCTAGCCTGCTGTACTCATCTGTGTTATCTGCTCTATCCCCATTGACTACATTTTTCCATCCCTAGTTAAAATCTAGGAGGAGAAAAGGCATTTGTTTAACTACTTAGAATATGAAGTATAGGTCTCAATCACTGCGGGAGTTTATCCATTTAGTCAGTAACAAATATCTTAACTTCCTGCTACTTACCAGCATCTTCTTACTGCTGGAGGAATTTTGTTACCTGGATTTGGGAGTTTGTTCTGTGGAGAAGAATGTATGAGCTGTCACTGTACACTGTGAAAATGTTGCCAGAGAGTTCTGTTTACAGAACAGTCTGGACCCAGGCTATGTGACCACCTGTATCTAAGAGGTCAGAGAAGTAACACTGGAGTCACTGCGTCTTAAGATGACCTGATTCAGGGCCAGCAGGTAGTGTGGTGGTTAAGGTACTGGACTCCCACATGCTTGACTGAAGTTTGAGTCCCAGACCAGTGGCTTGAAACTCACACAAGGCACACATGCATGCGTGCCCAGAGTCCCAGAAGGAGAATGGAGAAGAAGAGATTGTGACATAGGCCATATCCCCAGTGAGTGATTTCTCACTTTCCCTCTCACTGTGTTCCTCTGTCTCCCTGGAGAGTGTTCATGCACTGTGGCAAAAACCTTAAAAAAGAAAAAAAAAAAAAAAAGGCCTAAGGCCTAAGTCAAGCTGTGGAGGTAGGGGACAAATGTCAGACTCTGGGAAGCCCGGGGAGTTTGTTATGGTCAGAACATAAGGTGATAGGACATTTAAGTAGAGAAGAGAACCCAATTTGTATTTTAGTGGGTAGAATGTGTTTTGAAGATTAAAATGATAATCAAGAAAACTTCAAATTACAAATCCATCCCTATCCTAAGACTCAAAGTTTGAATTAGATATGATGAAGACATTGGGTGTGTGCCATGCACTCAGAGAATACAGTACAAGGCAACATACATGAAGTATGGAAGCCCGTAGTAAAAATGAGAGGAGCTAAGGAAACGTAAAGTTAATCTTTGAGTGTCAGTAATTCTGTAAGCCATATTCTGCAATATACATTGTAATTCCTTTTTAAAATTCAGGTTCTCTTCTGACTTATATGCAGTAAAAATATGTGTTATGTTTCTTTTCTTTTTTTTTTTTTTGTTTTTTGGTTTTTTTTGTTGTTGTTGTTGTTGTTGCTGTTGTTGTGCCAGAGGACAGAAGAAAAGGGGAGAAAGGAGAAAGCACTCCCCGGCAGGGTCTGGTCACCCTGCAATCTTTTTTTCCTCTAATTCTCCATCCCATAAGGATCATAGGCATTTGTGTATGTCCAGAGAGTTCCTCAAGCTGATGGGGCCAGGATCCAAACCCTCAATGGCTGTGTGGCATCCAGCTTCCTCTACACAGCACCCACCTTTGTGCCATGGGGCCTGACCCAGTTCTTGTTTTAATGTTTTAAAATTTATTTTATACATTTAATCACTGTACATCAACCCAGCTTGTAAAATTATTTTTGCCAACATGAACACCCTACATACTCATCCAGTTAAAAATATCATACACACTGTCATCCACAGACAGTCCACCATGTCTTCATCCCCCAGATGTCCCACCTCTCTGTGTCCTCTTTGATTCCCTTCCTCTCACCCTCTCCCGGCTCCCAAACTCTTCCCACACTATATCAGTACTTGTTTTTAATTTTTATTGTTTGATTTTTCTCTCCATCTAATGGACAAAATGCTTGCAGTACGGAGACTAGCTCTGAGGCGACTGTGAGCTGTGTAAATGTAGACAAGGTGACTAGTATAAGTATCAGGAAAATAAGATTTCCAACGCTTCACTGGATTTTGAGCCTCTAGTAGGAAAAATAGACAGGAAACACTTTGCAATCTACAGTTTAATGTAGTCAGAAATAAGTATAAGTTTAAATTAGGAAGGGTAAATAATTTAATTTACATACCATTTACAGATTTGTCATTTCTCATTATTAAAATAAGTATCATCTGGGGCCAGCAGGTAGTGTGGTGGTTAAGGTGCTGGACTCCCACATGGCCAACCATGGTTTGAATCCCATACGTGGAGGCTTGCTTTCACTTTCCCTTTCTCTCTCCCTCTATTTCTGGTCAAATTAAAAAATAATAACAAATAAAATCAAATTAATTTTTTAAAGAGTATCATCACTCATTGTGATGATACTGTGATTCTACTTTTAAAAAGCATTTAAATTCCACAAGTTGCAATATCTCCAAATAATAAAGCTTAAAAAAAAAGCTTGTTCCTATAGTTTGAAATAAAGGAAGTTCAAATAAAATAAATAAAATCTACCATCACTAAAACATTATGGTTTTTGTCCTTAAAGATACAAAGCAATATGTCAAAATAGAGGGGTCACTAAGAAAATGCTTCCATAATGACTTAATAAAGTAGTATTCTTACTAATAAACATGTGAAGATAATTTTACTTTTTTAATTAAACTGCAAGATTCCCTCTATAAAGCTTTTATTTTCCCATTTTTGATAGAATCATGAGTACAGGAAGTATTTCCCTTTGCTCGTAGCTTTACAAGAAGTGCAAAGGCAGTAGAACCGACAACTTTTTTGCCTGAGAAACAAGGAAGAGGTTAGGACTGCAGTGAACTGGAGAATGAATGTGCATTCTATGGAGGGCCGTGCTCTATCCAACCAGTTGTTCCTATATGAAAAGATTGAGAGCCAATGTTGACAGAATGGCTGAGTTGTTTCATGTGAACCAGAAATTCGTATCTTATGCATAGGTGCTGAATTGCTCTTCTGTGGTCCAGTGAAAACCAGAGCAACCCAAGGTCTGAGTGGGTCACACTGTGAGCTGTGTTCTTCCTTTGTTTCTACAGGGAGCCCCGCAAGGTGGTCCTGCACAAAGGCTCCACTGGCCTGGGCTTCAACATTGTGGGCGGGGAAGACGGAGAAGGTATTTTTGTATCTTTCATTCTGGCCGGTGGACCAGCTGACCTGAGTGGGGAGCTCCAGAGAGGAGACCAGATCCTATCCGTGAGTGTTTCTTTTCAATATTCATTCCCTTGTACATCTGACACTGCAGCCAAAAAGTCACTTTCAATTGCAGAGCCCAAAACACCAATTACTACAGGAAAATGGATGAGAGCATTATGGCTTCAGGTGTGTTGCAGTTTACATGGGGTCCAGGTGCTTCATGCTTGTTACACTTGCTTCCCTCAGGTAGAGATACAGCTGCGAGTGTTTCCTGTTAGAGCATCTGAGACATTTGCATTTACCAAGAGAACACAGAGAAGTTTTGCCTTTTTAAAATGGTATTGGGTCATTAGAAAAATCATGACGCATTACTACATCTTGGCTTTCCCAACAACCCAATATATGACTGATTTTGTAAAAATACATCTTTTTTCCCAATCTCATGACCATACTCTAAAAATTGCAGCTTTATAATGTGCAGTTTGGTTCATTTAACAGTGTAAGATAATGCCATAGGCAGTTTGCTGACAGTGATGCAGCAGCGCATCTTAAATCTAAGTGCAAGAATCAGCAACCGTTTAAGTACCATTCTTTATCACACATTTTATAAAAGTAATGCTTACGACCACTTGATTGAGGGGTGATCGACATAAAAAAGCTGCATGTATTTAATATATGCCACCTCGATGAGTTTGGAAATGTATCTAGACCTGTGAAGCCATGCCCACAGTCTGTACCATAAACATGTCCATCACCTTCAAAATCTCTCTCCATCTTACTAATGAATTGTGTGTGTGAGATAAGAACACTTACATAAGCTCTACCCTTTTAGCCAATTTTAAGTTCACATTATGTATTGTTAACTACACGCACTACACAGCACTGGACTCTAGGACTGACTCGTCTTACATGTCTGTAAAAATTATTTTACTTCTTACAGTCAACTAGAAAATTATATCTCGAGACCAGCAGTTAGCGTAGTGGCTATATCGCTGGACTCCCATGAAGTCGACCGCGGTGCGCGTCCTGGACCCAGTGGCTTGAAACTCACGCCGGGCATGTGTGCATGTATGCCCAAGATCCCCAGAGGAGAATGGAGGAGAAGGGATTGTGGTGTGGCCATCCCCCCTGGGGGGTGATTTCTCGCTTTCAATCTCTTTGTCTCTCTCTGTCTGTCTGGCAAGCACACGTGCCCGATGGCAAAAACTTCTCCAAAAAAAAAAAAATTATATCTCAATGCTCAGAGAAGAGAATAAAATTCAAAGAGAATCTAGTTAGGTAAACCTGTTAGAGTTGGGTTTAACTATTCACTCTCAATGCCATTACACCTGTTGTCTTTCCTCCCTCTTTTCCTGCCTTTCTCTCTTCTGCCCTTTCTTCTGTCTTTCCTTTTTTCTTTCTTTCTCCTCCTATTTTTCTTTCATTTATTCAAATATTCACTGGTTACTTCTTTCCATTACATGAAAATACCTCCCTGGTATGGTAGGTAGTTAAATCCATTGTGAGCGTGCATGTCTTTATGAGAATGTTACTGATCATGCCCATAATAATGGAAAAGCACATAGAGGCCCAGTTCTCATGGCCAACACTACAATTCATAACACAAGGATGTACTTAGTTTGAGGGTTTTTCTGTGTATTTAACAAAAATTGTTTTCCAAATGACCTTATATTTGTTAGTCGTCATTTCAGCCCTTTAAACGTATGGTTAAATCTCCTCTGTCTCTCTCTAACACACACACAATTTACATATAATGACATTCAGTTGACCTGAGTAAAGCATTCGGCGGCTGCACAGCTGGCCTTGCCATTTCTGTTTCCACATTCTCCCACACATACAAGTCTCTGCACACACATCAGCTTGCAGATCTCTGGAAGGGTTCTGGGTAAAACAAGCGGGACAAGGTCCCATGCCCGGACTTTGTTCTGCCTTTCAAGAGCTGAATGTGACCCTTTTAACTGCTTCCCTCACCTACTTCTTTTACACTTAAGTGAAATGTAAGATATAACTGGAAGTTCATTGCCCATATTTATTTCCAAGTTTGTCTTTCTCTACTATATGGCAAGCTCCTTAAAAGAAAGGTTTTTTTTTTATCTGCATAATTTTATATATATTTAGTACAGTACCTGGCACTAAGCAGTCTCTTAAAAAAAAATGTTAATTGAATTAAAAATACTGTATAGAGCCAACTGGTTGTGTCGTGCTTAAGGAGCTGAATTTCACAGGGCTGACTGTGGTTCAAGTCCCAGAACCAGCAACTTGAAAAACACCCTGAGCACATGTGTATACGTGCCCAAATCCCGAGAAGAGAGTGGAGGGATTGCAGGATGACAATCCTCCTTGGGAGAGTACTTTCTCATTTTTTGTTTCTCTCTCTCTCTCTCTCTCTCTCTCTCTCTCTCTGGCAAGCACACATACTCTATAGCAAAAATTAAGAAATAGTATTGCATAAATATGGTGGAACTTTAGAGGTCACTATAGCTTGGGGGACAGACTCTAAAATTTTACTTAAAGTATACAACCATATCTCCATCATTCTAGCTAAAATCTATCAAAAGAGGGGAACACTTATTCATTTCATCACATTCAGCATTCACATTGTAACAAGTTTCCAGACACAAGCACATTCACATGCATTACTTCTAGAGATACTCAAAGAAACCTGAAGAGTCAGGGACAGCCAGGGGCATGATAGTTAATGCAGTTGGGTCCCACATAACCAACTATGCCGTTCAAATCCCAGACCTTATGGCTTAAAAAACATGACAGGCACAGGCCCATGTGTACCCAAAATCCCAAAAAAGGAGGGAAAGATGGAGAAAAAAGAATTATATTGAAATGTAATTGGTTAACACTGAGAGAAAAGACTAGCAGGTTTGAGAAGCTCAAACATTACTACAAGGAAAGGAAATGGCAGAATGTAATTATTAACAATGGAACAAAGAGGATACAATATTTGCATCTACAGCTTGCACTAGACATATAGGATAAGCCATACCTTCCTGGAAAACACCAAACAAAAACTCTAAATAGAAAGCAAGCACTAAATTAAAATTCAGTGCACATTACTAGATCATACAAGATTAATCTGCAAATACGTTATGCTACCAGTAATATAGTAAGCTCGGAAAAGGAAGACAGAATCCCCAGTGAAGGCAGCTGAGGGGTGGGTGATGATGTTGGGTGGTCTTTATAGGGAAGATATTAGTGTAACAGATACTCAGACAGTTATCTTTCTTTTTTTTTTTTATTTTTTTGAGAGGTTTTTTCCTATAGGGCGTGTGCGCTTGCCGGACAGACAGAGAGAGACAGAGAGACAGAAAGCGAGAAATCACCCCCCGGGGGGATGGCCACACCGCAGTCCCTTCTCCTCCACTCTCCTCTCGGGATCTTGGGCACGCACACACATGTGCCTGACAAGAGTTTTAAGCCACCGGGTCCGGGACACGAACCAGAGTCGACTACGCGGGAGTCCAGCGACATAGCCATTACACTAACTGCTGGTCCCAGACAGTTATCTTTCTAATTAGGAGCAGAATATATATATTTATTCTCCAGAATTGTCCTCTCACATAGTCTATAGAATCTTCCCAAATCACTTACATATTAATGGCTTACTATACACCAAGTATCTCATATTTGTATATGACATACCAAGAAAAAATAGGAGACAGTAACATGCTCTTAAAAAAGAACATGTCTTATTGTAAATATGCCATCACAATTGCTATTACTATGAACAAACCTTAATAAAGTGTCTGATATTTTAAAAAGTTATTTAATTTTGTTTTTAATTAATTTGCTATAGAGCATATGCGCTCACTGGAGACAAAGAGAGGGAAAGGGAGAAAGTAAGCCACCAGGTCCAAGACTAGAACCGTGGTCGACCACATGGGAGTCCAGCACCCCAACCAGCACTGGTCCCAGTTGTCTGATATTTTTACAGAGCATCAGATAAAGAAGGCCTCTTTAAGATACTTTGAGCTGTTCCTTCCTAGGGTCAGGGCTTAGACCAAAACAGTATTTCCAAAAGTATGTTTCACCAAATACCAAAACAACAAGATTGTTATGGATTGCTCCTTGGTACCAGATTTGTTTTCTGAAGAACTTCTTGAAAACATCCATTTACCAGTATGCAGTGAGAATCTAGAGGCAGATAAGTACATGATTTTCTCAGACATATTTGACCACAAAACTTGATAAGGAACACCTCTGGACCAGCAGATGGCATAATGGTTACATTGCTGGACTCCCACGTAGTCAACTGTGATTCGAATCCTGGATCTAGTGGCTTGAAACACTCCAGGCACGCGTGCATGCATGCCCAAGGTCCTGAGAAGCAATTAGGGAATAGCCATTCTCCCTACCACCACCACCCCCTGCAGTGAGGGGAGGTGATTTCTTTCTGTCTCTCAGGTGAGTGCACGTGCATAATAGCAAAAATCTCTCTTTAAAAAAAAACTAACAAAAAAAAACAGCACCTCACAGGATACCAGTAGTAAAAAACGACCTAAGTAGATACGTTTATAGTTCCTGTAACTGACTGTTTTCTTACAAAGTAGTCATTCTTGTCTGTGCAGTGAAAGGAAGTTGGCCTTTTACCACGTTTTAAGATTTGGGGCGCCATCTAGTGTTCATGCGTTATTTAAACAGGGCTGGGAAACTAAGATGGAAGGTACCAAAGCTCCATTGTTGGAATTCATCTAATGGGGGTAAGGCCTCCCCTTACTCTCCACTAGAACACAAGATATAAAGTAATTAAGCTACAGAAAGATAGGGAAACCATCACCTTAGGCTGCATTCAATACACATTGTGAGTGATCTTTTCTAATTTCTCCTTTATGTAGTCTGTTTCTCAGGAATTTGTTGTAGAAAGAAATCCAATAATTGAACCGTCTTCTTGAGGTATTCGTGGAGGCGAATCTAGGGCATTCGGCATGCAGTCACATTAACTGGTGCAGTCGCCTCCTCAGGCATTCTTCCTGCAGAGGAAAAGATTGAAATGCCTCTGTTATTATTTGTTTGGATGCGCTGTTACAAAAAAAAAAAAAAAAATGTGG